GCAACAAATAGTCGATGGTTAAAATTTCTTTCAATGTATGGATGAATCCAAAATCTTTTTGCTATGGTAATAGTTAGAGAGCCTGTATAAGAAGAGAGTGGCCAACTCGCTAATGCCGTCTGATTGGCTGTTAAATATGAACCGTTGTTTGCGGTCCATCAGTGTTACACTACGAAAAATATTAACAAATTATCGTATACAACCGTTTTCATACTGTTCATCAACTTTTAAGCAGTAAAATACATTGTAATTATTGTTATTAATGTTAGCATCAAATTGATGCACTTTACAAAGTTTCGGTACTTCATACTTACATAGCTCATTATTGTGAAGCCAGCATAAATGTATTAGCTTTAATTCACACTTCACACTCAAAAAACTTTTTATTGGTAGAAAAAGTGCTCGAATTGTTTTATAACATGATATTAAAAAAAAAAGTAACGAATAACCACAAATCAATAATTAAAAAATAATTTGTATAGGTGTGTCAAACCCTTTTCACAGTTTCTCTCATGGCTACACTTTTACTAGCCTTGAGTAAAGCTCCATCTTTTATTTTATTTTTTTTCATCTGCTTATTAAAATAAGAAACTAAATTTTTACACCTGAATTCTATAAACTTGGATAAAAGTTTACTTCTAATATTGTGACACTTAGAAAACTCAAATTTATGGATAGCTGCATTTAAAATATCCATGAAGTTTTTTCTATTTTTGAGAACTAGAGATCTATTTTTCCTAAAAATATTTTCCATGTATAGGAAAAAATTAAATGTGTTTTCACTAGTACGATTCAAACAACCTTGTTTGTATTCTTTCAGATTTTGAAAAGTAGAATATTCAGAATCCAAAGGCTCTTTTACACAAACATTCAGAAAACAGTCTTGACAAGCTTTGTCATTTGCCTTGACTCTTGAAATTATGTAGCCTAGATAAACAAAAGTACATTTTAAAAAATTGCAAGTATAAATAGATATATAAGATACAATGTATTAAATTTATACAATAAAATTTTATAAATCAGTCTTGTAAATAATATATATGTAAATATTAAAATTTAAAACACATATATTAGCCAAAGGTGTCATTTGAGTGGAGGGAAAGGTGAGCATTTCTGTTTTTTTTCGATTCGGAGAGATGGTAATGGGTAATTTAAATTAAGTTCTTCATAACCGGAAGTTTGACAAGTAAATTTGATTTTTAAAGCATTTGTAGTACTGTCGTTGGACCATTGAAAACCTTTTTTATTTTTTTGTTTTAAAGATGAAATTTGATTCTCTGTCAAAAATGTACTTAAATTTGTTTTTAAATTCTTAATTTCATTTTTATATTTGAAAAGCATTTCTCTATGTTTCTTCAATTTTCTCCTTAAATCTCGGATAACTATACTTTTTTTGGTGGGCGAATTTGGTATTGGAAAATATTCATCAGATTGTTTAATATGAGTCTTCAAAATTTAATTTTCTTTTTTTAAATGGTGATATAGATAATTCTATTTTATTAAAGTAACTGTGGTCATGAAATATTTTAGTTGGTGTTGTTGCTTTGAAAATGTTATTTGAAGTTTGTGTGGAAGACTTGTTTGTCGATTTATATTTATAGATTTGGTTGGAGTTTGTTTAGGAGACTTGATTGGTGTAATTATTTTAATTTGGTTCACTGGTGATGATGGAGTGGCATTCGGTTTCATTTTTCTTCTTCCGTCGACTCTTTTGCTTTCGAATTGATGAATATCAAAGTGAGCCTATAACAAATGATTAAAAGTAAAACGAGTGCTTAGTATATATAAGAAGTCTATAGCCTATATCAGAATATAACACCAAAACAACAATATGTATAGACAGCAATAGTAATAGAGTAAAATCATTGTTTTATTTTGTGTCAATATTATCCATCTTATTTCTTCTACTTAACAAACTGATGCTTTTAATTAATATTATGAAGTAGCTAGATAATAATATTTTACCTCGCATATACGACTTTTTGTCGTCGGAGTCCAGTTAGGTCTTCCACATTTTGAAGCCCATATCGCTCTTCTTTCTGGGGTTTTAGGAAAATGTTTCAGTAAAAAAACCATATTCACTCCTATTACTGCAGTTCTCAACACAACAACCTGTCATTTTTTTTTAATATACCTACGAATTCTCAAATAGTCAAATTACATTATTTAACATTATTAACGAGTTGGTCGAGATGGTAAAATCGTTATTATGATTTTACTATATTTTTATCACGATTAACATCAATATGATACAACGTGAATGTGCGATAAAAATGTATTTGGTTCTAACATAACCTTAATGTGGACCGTAAATGGCGACTCCTATGAAACCGTGATAAGAACCGTTGGCCACTCTCTTCTTATCGGATTTGGTAAATTGAGTCCTATATTATTATTTTTAGGTAAACTGAGTCCCTTGTAAAAAAATAAAAGCGGTGAATTGAGTCCCCTGTAAAAAAGTTAAAGCGGTGAATTGAGTCCCTTGTGAAAAAGTTATTCTAGTAAATTAATAATGCTTATAAACTAATTTTGTTAATAATAATAATAATAGGTAATCAATGAATAATACATAATACATATAATAATAATTATTTTCAATAATAATAATAATAAATAATACTCTTGATATTAAACGGGTAAATATTTTAATGATACGAGCTTAATAAATTGAAGTCTACTAATTTCATTATTTTTGTACTTCGTCATTTGTTCTCTTAATATATTCTCCTTTTCTATGTTGTGTTTTGATTTTTTGCATAGCTCTTTACTTCTTATTTGAATATATGTATTAGATTGGATTTCTTTGAGTTCATCAATAAAAATATAAATATTTGGATGTGAAGTATAAAATAAACTATTCAGCTTTGCGTGAAATGATTCACAACTATTTGTTGTACGATTAGATATTGTCGAAAATTCAGCCCAAAGATTAGGCGGGAATGTAGAATCTGATGCAATGTATGTTTTTAAAATATAATCAGTGAATAATTTTATATTTTCTTTTGCAGGAAGCTTTGGCATAATATCTTCAATGAAACTGTCGTAAACATCGTTCGGTCTTAAAAATGGTAAACCAAAAAACATTTTTGAAAAATTACTTTCTTCCGAATTTCGATTTTTATAATTTGTACTTAAGCCAAGACATTGTATTTTTTTCCACCAACTTTGTCCAAGGTGAAAACGACAACCTTTAATATTAATTGCTGGCCAAACTTGTTGCGCGGCATTATGTAAAGATTTTTCAAAGTCAATAAAAATATATTTTGGTGAAATTGTTAAACCAACAATTGCACACTAATACATCGTATACTTAAAGAATAAAAATAAGATTTTCAATTCTTCATCCATTCATATAGAAGACAATCTTGAAGATTCTATGGCAATGAACATCAGTATTGCTAAAAGTAATGATTTTTTTTTTTACTTAGTATTTTTAGTAAAATTTGTTAACACAATTATTATTATTATTTTAGGTGTAACTATGCCTGCATCTGGAGATCCTGAAGATTCTTGTGCCATGGATATTAGTCTAGTAGGAATAAGTGAAAGTGTAATGCATTCAAACCCAAGTGTGTCTGATGAACTAAGAAATGAACGTAACTATAAATGCATTGAATGTTGTTTTATTATTAATCAAATTTTGATTTTAGTTTTCAGTGAAGGTATTTCATTGTGTCAACCTAATCAAAGCAGAAAAAAACAAAGTTAAAGGTGTGTTGGCAAAGATGAATATGTTTAGAAAATCACAATTGACTCCAAGGAAAAGTCTTCTATATGATGCTGTCAAAATCTAAAGACAAAAAAATTTAGTTGTTCACAAACGATACACAGAAACTAGAACTCGACTAAAAATGGCTGATAAATATATAAATACTAATAAGAAGTCGTTATGTGGACTAAACCAGTTCACTAGACAATTTATTGAATCTCAAATTCGAATGCAACCGCAGAAGCCGCGTGGAAGACGTTTTACTGTAAATGATAAAGTGTTTGCACTGTCTCTGTTCAAGCAAAAATTCACCGCTTTCTTTTTTTGTAGAGGGGACTCAATTCACCGGTTTAACTTTTCAACAAGGAACTCAATTCACCGCTTTTGAAAAACCGTAATTTTGTTTGGGACTCAATTTACCTACGCCCCTTCTTATATAGGCTCTCTAGTAATAGTAATATGCAATCATCATTATCTTCATCACTGGAATCATCCATGGTGTTAAAAAAAGGTGACACAGATCCTCCATCCATAACCAAACAGCGTAAACCTTAGATCATACACAATGGATAGAGCCATATGAACTATTTGTGAAGCCAACATCACTGTAGGACCTCGGTGATATGCGCGTGCGCGTGGACTCTTATCATTAATGTTTGGCGCAGAGTGCAGACGCGCAGTTAAGATAAACAAGTAACAACACTAACAACTATAAAATATGTTTTTTAAGTTTCTTTAATTGTTATTTCTTTTTTGTTATAACTGTTACAAGACCATACTATTATGTATTATATAAAATGTATTACTTTAATGTATTAAGATTAACTATTAACAACTAACATTATGTACTTATGCATAGTCATAAATATAAAATAACAATAACAAGTGTACTAGAAACTAGTGTAATATAAGGGTGCATTACGATTGCGTATGATACGATTCCGTATGGACCTTTTTCATTATTACGATTGCGTACATTCTACCTACCAATAATTAGTGCAACGTTGCCGTTGTTCAAAATCGTGAACATTTATAATATAACTTATTTTAGGAAACGATTGCTTATATTTGATACAATTTCATAAACGTTACCGAGACTATTATTTCCAGGCCAATAGGTACTTTTTGGTAATCTATAAAATACTATGAGATAAGATTAAATGCCGATTATTATATTGGATTTCCTGGCACGTGTCTCACTATAACATCGTTATATTAGTATGCGACCAACTTGTCATTCGATAAGTCACTGGTTTTTGTTTTAGTATTAGTAAGTAATAGTGCGGTAACTATGGAGAATTCTTTAAAAATTATAATGTCAGAACGTGGGAAAGAGTTAGTTGTGGTTTCTTCACATAAATATCGTTTTATAAGAAAACGCAAAGACGAATTATTAAAATGGATATGTTATAACAAAAGTTGTTATGCCAGTATTTTAACTGATGTCAAAAAAACTCAAGTTANTGCCAGTATTTTAACTGATGTCAAAAAAACTCAAGTTATTAAGGTAATCGGTGAACACAAACATGAAGCAATAACATCTCAAAATATTGACCGCCAAGTTCTCAGAGAAAATTGCAAACGAAAAGCCAGCGATTCAATTTCAACTCGACCAAGTAAAATTATACGAAAAGAATTACTGACAAATGTAGGTACAGATATTGTACATAAGGATATTTCTTCTGTCCGAAAAGCCATGTATATGGCAAGACGGAAAAACGTTCCTATATATCCAAAATCTTTTGATGAAGCCATAGATAAAATTTGGGAAATGCAAAACGATGATATTTTTAAATTTAATAATAAAAAATTTATCCACATTCCGATGAATAAATCGTTTATTTGTATCACGACTGAAGATAATTTGAATTTTATGAGTTCTTGCACAGAATATTTTTCAGATGGCACATTTCAATTCGCACCTAATTTTTTTATGCAAATGTATACTGTCCATTGTTTCAAAAATGGCTTTTATTTACCAGTTATTTTTATTTTTTTGAAAGATAAATTTAAGCAAACATATATCGAAATGTGGAAATTTATTAAAGAACTATATTTGCAACACACATCTCAAACACTAAATTTATGCAAATTACACATCGACTTTGAAATAGGAGCACACGAGCTGTGAGGGAAGTTTTTCCGAATGTACAACTTATTGGATGTCGTTTCCATTTAAGTCAATCTTGGTGGCGTTATGTAAGTATTTAATAAATAACTAACTCACATCGGTTAAATAAAATACTTTCATAGTAACAATTTTTATATAGATAAATGCAAATAAAAAATTGAGGACAGCATACTCGGATGATAAAAGTTTATTAGGAAAATGGTTAAAAATGTTTTTTGGTCTACCATTTCTGCCTTATCAAATAGTCGAAGACGGTTTTGTTGAATTAGTAGGTGATTGTCCGGATGAAGATGGCCTAGAATTTTCGGACTATGTATTAAATAATTATATACAACCAAATTGTATATTTACAACTAATATATGGGCTGAAGAACCTTCAATAAATAAAAGGTATCATATTTTTATAAATTATAAGAAAAATTTGGATTAATTATTAATTCCGTAATTTTTACGTGTTTTAATGTCAGAACAACAAATGGTCCAGAGAGTTTCCACAGAACTTTAAACGCACAATTCTATAGCTCACATCCACCAATATACTTTGTGCTTGAGGCATTGAAAGAAATGCAGGCTGAAACCAATATAAAAATATCCACTATACAAAAAAATATATCCAAAGCTATTCCATCTAAAGATATGCAAAAAATGAACCATGTTATAAAACTATACGACCAATTTAAAATAGATGGTAATATATAAATTTTTTTATCAGGGACTGGTTATCGATACCAAGGTTTTAATTTATAACTTATAATTTGTATTTTGTATAATTTAAGTTTTTAGTTGACTATAAAAATGGTTTTTTAAATTATATTATTTTTAATTCAATTTAATTTAATAGTACATGTTGGCAACGTTGCACTCATTTTCGTACGCAATCGTTTTACTAAAAGGGACAATCGTACGCAATCGTATATAACCGTAATATAACTCAAAAGGTAATATACGGAATAATAAAATGGGACAATAGGTACTAAATATCTATTACCTACTGATTTTTAAATAAAATTATTTTAGTGCATTTATGTCGCACATTCTTGCTTGCCATTGAAAGTGAATGCATTTTTTCTATATGATTTAATCTTAATGTTATATATGGCCCAATTATAAATTGTTTTAATTGTCTTCGATGGTTATTAAAAGGATCTTGATTTAATATGTGTTGTTTCATTTCGTAACTGTTGAATATTGTATTATCTGTGCTTATTTCGTTCAGTATCTTAATTTTTAAATGCATCTTTACGTTCTGAATTTTAAGTAGCTCATCGAAGTAAAATCTTATGATATACTCTGAATCAGTTTCTGCAAAGTGAAATGAACATAATTTTCGGTTTGACTGAACATCGTCTTCGATCAATCCGCATTTCATAGCCAGCTCTTAAGACGTTTTGGATCTTTAGGAAATCTAATTAAAATGTATTTAATTACATCATAATAGTTATTGTGCATTGTTTAAAACTAAAAACACTAGACTTACCCAAATAAAAATAATCCTGGATTTTTATGAACAGACCGTAGACATAAAACACACGCATTTTTAGTCGGCATTATAATATAATTAAATATTTGTTTGTTCAAATGGTTTATTATTTATACGTTTATAAATATAAAGACATTAAAAATATAAATTAATAAACATTTGAAAATTCAGATTACCTAAATTCAATTTTAAGCGGGAAAACAGATTAATATATTATGATAAGCAGTCACGCATGCGCAGATGTCACAGGTCCCATAGTAATGTTGGCATCAACTCATATTATACGTGTAGTATGTTATGACTCCATCCATTGTATATGATCTAAGGCGTAAACTATTGATTTCAATATGATCGTGTGTGGATCCGAGTCACTCAGCGTTGGTAATCAATAAGTAATTTAAATCACAAACCCGTTTAGTTTCTAATGAATAGCTGTGTGTTGGCGGCCTTTATCCGCTGTTCGTTGATTGTTATTTTAATTATTGCTAAATGTAGTCCTCGTTTTTAATAGGTACATTTTTTGATAGTTTGATTTATAGAATTAGGGATACTGCAAACATTCAAAGAATTGCCTTGATGCTTTTGTATTAAAAGATTCAAACATATTTAAAAACTCAAATATGTTTATCCCTACTCAAATACGAAAAATACAAGACATTGATGTACCATTAATGATGTTAGTTGATCCTGCGTATCCTCGATCGATAATGGTACAAATGATAGCTGTAGCCTATAGTATAGGCCCTATACCATAGTAAATTAGTACAATGATAGTATTTTGATTTTGTAATTTATTATTAACAAAAACTACGATATAATCTTGATACTGCCTACAAAATGCTACACGGACAATACATGTCACTTACTACGAGACACTCAACGAGTTAATGACGATTGACGAACACTGGCTTAATTTATCGGACTTACTATTGTCTATTTTAATTAATTACATAAAATAAATATTTTTGAATTTGTTTTATGGAATAAATATATATGTCCGTGAAGTTAGCCGCCCAACATTGTCAAACCGATTTCATATTTGGTTATTCTTTAGTGAGTCATTAGTAAGTATTTGCAAACACAAAATCAGAATTTGTTAGTCAACCACTATCGAATTATCCCCGAAAGTTTGTTAACCTGGTCACTTCAATTTTTGAAACTTTTTTTCCACCCCTCGTAGTGGTCCATTGGTAAGTATTTGTTAGCGCAAATTCGAACTCAGTGCCCACACGTATAATTTAATAATTATAAAAATATAATACAATTATAATTCGTCTTATTGGAGTTAAAATGTGTGTCATAGTGTTACACATTTTTAGAAAAACCACTTAAACAATATTAATTGTTATTTTTGCAAAGTAAAATGAATTTTTTTTATAGGGTATTATTTAAAATAGTAAACAAGAAATCTCAGAAAGTACTTAATATATGATGCTTAAATTTGTTAGGTAGGAAATGTTTACTAAGTACATGTTTCGTAAATTTTAACCTCTAAAAATGAAAAAAGGGGTTTTGAAAGAGAACACTGGGCTATTTATTCAGTACAATATAAGTTAATTAGCGGTGCCATTTGCCATACACAGTGTGAACCTACATTTAATATTTCATGATTAAAATCATTCCTGTTTATTTCTGTTAACAATTAACATTTTTACTTACCACTGTCTGTCTTAATTTGAAATAATGATTTTTTATTTTTGAACATCTTTACATTAAATATAAATAACGCTTTGAACAATTTTTGAATCATGTAAATGATTGTAAAAGATGAGCTACATGTGCAGCAGCGAATAACTGAATTTGACGAGTTGCAATTGGCCCCGTTTGTATGACTCGATAGTCGTGTTCCTTCTTAACAAATATTAACATCTCTTCAGCATTTACAGGTGGTGATTGCATCTGTCTAATTTTCTCATCTAAGTAGTTGATATACTCCCTAACTTGATTTGTAGCTAAACTATGCGTGTATGCTCCTGTCCAGTGAATGGTTTCCAAAATAGTGCCTTCCGAATACCGAAGACAAATAAGATCCGAACGATTTAAAATAACTCTTCACCCTTCTCAATATTTCGACTCAACTTCTAGCACATTTTCATCTTCGTAAACCATACTATATCATTTTAATATTTCTGTACCCAGAAATATTATTCACTTGTATTTTACCGGCGTGTTTAATATAAACGATAGGTTATTACCCATCAGTGAAAATAGCTGCTTGAGTGTAAAAAACGTAATATGTACGTACCGATATGATGTTAATATACGTATAACAATTTCAAAGTCCTCTGTAGGATCAATATCAATTTGCAGAAATTTTCTAGTCATGAAATCCAGTGTAAAGCTTGTAGATTCCATTAGATCTGAAGGTGTAGTCGGAGGTATATATGTAAAGGATTTATTTTTATATAAGGTTAGATAGTCTGTGATAAAACCTGCCATGTCTTTAAAAATCGTTTTAAAATAATAAACACTTGAAAATTTAAAAAGACTTGTAGAAAACACTATTATGTTTTATTTTGAAAAACAAATTAAACCCTGATAAAGTGTAAATAATATTGAGATAAATACATATAGACTTTGAAAACACGGAGTAGATAAAGATAAAGTGTACGTAATGGACGAATGGATCATCGCAGGAAAAATTCCAAAAGAATCCAACATGGCGACGTTACTCTTATCACTATGGTAATAGATAATTTATTGGTTATCATCACTGTGTCATCACAAACTAAGGTTATCATAAAATAATTAAAATAATAAAATAAATCTTAGGTTAATTACAAATAAAAATTACACAATAATTCAATAATAATTTATAATACAAAATACACGTTTTTCAGACTCTTTGTCCATGTCAAAAAATTCACCTTAAAAATACGAATGATCATTAGATGAATGAACATTTAATACTTCACCATTTGAATTATTCAATGAATCCCTAATTAAATTGCTTTCAAGTGAAGAAAGAGGTAAATTAATGTTTGGTTTTTTTCTATTATTTGAATAAAATCTGGTTTGCTTTTCTATGTGTTTTATATTTGTAGTTTTAGTAGGTACATTATCACTTGATTTGTTCGTTTCTTTTGAAATTATAGTAAGTATTTTATCACAATGCTTTAAAATGTTTTGTTGGCTTTCAATACTTAA